TAAGAATAAATCGAAAGATAATAAATAAAATAAGTGAAATAGTATAACTGAAATGGTAAGTTTAACCCGGCGTGAGCTAGGTCGGGTATGTCACACCCGATACATTGACCTTTTTAATGTTTAAAATTGTTACTAATTTGATTAAAATTTTAATGAACATAATTTTCTTATAATTCTTGATTTTATTTGTAGTTTTTATTTAATGGGAGATCCGTTGTGTTTTATGTACTTTTTGATTTAGGTACTTTTAGGTACTTTACCTACTTCACCTATCTCACGCCGGGTTAAATTAGTTAAATACAAAATAGTTTTAGATCTAATATACAAAAGGATTGCGACAAATTTGTAAACAACTTTTAAACTAATGTGAATATTTTCTTTACTACCTCATCTTTTATTTGCACATCGCTGATGTTGTTATGTACATCGTGAATAATAGGACCAATTTTTCTCGCTTCATTTTTACCAGTTTCGCAAGCCCACACTATCATTACAAATCTTGTAAAGTAATATGTTACGATTGATATGAAGTATGCATTATAAATCCTGTCTTGATTCAAGGATATCCCGTTTTGCCATTGTATTACATTGAAATACACATAGAATATTGTGTGCTTAAAGACTAAAACTATGACAGCGAGAAGATGCAGACTGAAAATCATGTTTAGCATCTGCACTGTGTCACTTATCATCAGATGATGTTTCTTTAGAGCCTTAAGTTTTATCAGCAACGGATGTCTCTGCTCATAATAGATCCATCTATGAATATTATTCATCACAAACTCCTGCATACTCTCCAGATTATTATTGATTTCCTTAAAACAGGCCTTTAAGATGCAAACGCAATTTACGTATAACATATCCATTTGAAATCCCAACAAGCTGATGAATATTCTAAAGATATTTAATAAACCGAACACATTTTTATCAGTATATGAAAAATATAATATTAACGCTAGCAAAAAGTGAAAGAAAAAACCGAAAATGTCCTTAGCGTGTATTAATTTAGATAATTTTTGATATGACTTCTGTGGCAATCTCGATGAAATATCTGATATAGTCTGAAGTAAACGCATTCGTGGACCGATCAGGGCATAAGAGATGATCGTTGCAAACAATCCAAGTAAAAAGGAAAAATTGAACGATATAGTTCTAGTAACATCAATCCTTTTTCCAGAGAAATTGAGTTTATATAACATTGTCAACTCATAAGCACAAATTACGCAAAGAATAACAGTCCATAGAATGTAACGCGGTTTAGATGTTTTAAAAGTCGAATCCTTAATTCTGTACGGAAATGTTCCGAGAATTTTGCTTATGAAAAAGTTGGGATACATCAAAGATTGAAAATCGGTGGCATGGAACAACTTCCACTTTTCTTCTTTTGTTTTGGCCCTTGACTTGACTTTGAAATTTCTACGAGAAATTGAATATAATTCATAAATTATTATAAGAAAATAACACTTTAATATATTAGTAATGTTCTACTTAAATTTATTAAGTACTTTATCATTTTTTATGCACTGAATCCTTAATACAAGCCGGACACTTCTTTAATTTCGAATTTTCCACCACAAATATACATGAATTTGTACTAGTTTATCTGTTTATTTGCTGCGATTGAGTTAAATTCAGTTTAAAGCTGCAGATAGTTTCTGCGTCGAGTAGTAAGTCATGACTAAATGGTTATTTGTTAGCTACGAAGTAGCATCGTCATTTTATGTTTATTATTTATGACTTTTTAGTATATAAAGACATGTAATAAAGTCATTTCTAACATATGAATTATCATTTAGCACATGTAAATTGGGAATAATATGCCTGAAAGCATCGATGTTAAATGAAATAAAAATGATTTATTTAGATTACTTGATATTTCTATCATAATATTGATATTATTTTGGAATCTTTATTAGTTAATGTGATAACAACTTTGATGTTTATCAATCTTAATCTTTAATGTGATCTTATTAATTATAGTTTTTAATGTAAAAATATTTATACATACGAGTATTTATTTAAAAATAAATGTATTCATATGCATTTATCATAACTTGTAATAATAATTGAAAATTATAATATCTAATTTTGTAATAAAATAGATTTACTTGTATATAAATTGTACACATTATAATATTTTGAATGGAATATACATGTCCGGATTGTGTTATGGTCGCGGGCTATGATCGGTATCAAATATAATCAAGTTGGACTAGAATAAACGTCTTTATTACGAGTTGCGTCAAATTATACAACAATTTTACTTGACAAAAATCGACGGAGAAGTCTCGCTTATCTCTCGCGATTACTTGCTTGACTTCTCGTTCAAAGAAACACTACTGTTTTTTGCCCATTCGAAAAGATTTCGAAATCTAGATTTAAAATATACGCAATTCTTTGACTTAGTTTCCTTGTTTACGCGGTTGCATTTTATTTCCCTTGATTGCGGCTTACAGCATTGCACTTGACTGCAATGTCGGACTATTTAATTCATAATAAATTCTAATAAATTCAATTTTAACGCGGCACTAATTACTATGTGCTTTTGCTGTTCAGGTTCATCGATTTAGTCATCTCTATGTTGTTCTTTTTTTTTCTACCTCGAACAGCTGAGCAGATCTTATATTGTATGTTTGCGTATATTCTCTCGTGATTCCGAAAATACGATATTCTCACGATAAAAATTATATTAAAGAAAGAAATGAATTTTCAGCTGGGATAATGGCAATATAACCGGCACAATGTTATTAAATTGTGTTGTGCGCATTTTTAGAAACACTAATTTTGTAATGAGTGCACTTTTCTAAATTAAAATTGATCTAACGAATATCTAAATTGCTTGCTGTATTCTTTTGATCGATGTAAAATTAATTAGTAGATATTTCAAAAGTATAATATAAATAAGTAATTTTTTTGATAGTTGACTTTTTTGTTTTTTGTGTACAAAAATCAAGGTACTAAACATTAAACATAAGTTATCAATGCAATAATTCTTCTATTATCTCTCAATAAAAATGTAATTAAATCTATATTGATAACTGAAACTTAAATAAGAAGTATGGAATTTGCATTTAACGAATTGTTTAAATCAATTTTAAGCATTAAATTTATCTTAACAGTTATTTGTATAATTTTTGATAAATATTGATTTGACAAAAAGGTTATACGTATTAATTGATACGAGAAACAGGTAAAATATGAATTAGCTGATGGTTTATTAATATTACTTACTTATTAATATTACTTTTTATTGTACTAATGTCTGAAGAGGGCTCAAACTGGTAGCCGAAACTTGTTACTTGTAATGTATTAGTTTATAGTTTTATTATTTATTATTTTTTGGCGTGATGTTTCATCGCGTTTAATACAATATATAATTTTATGTAAAAATTAAAAAATGTGGTTGACTCTTACTTCGCCCGCTGATTGAGTTTTGTTATTATGTTTTGAAAGAGTCCTTTGAATTTGTTT